ATCATGCATAAGAAATGGGATCTAATACATTTATATTTATAAATAAGCAAACACAGGAAACAAGTGTCTTGTTGATTCAAATTGTATTTTATATTAAAACTATATAAATGTTTACAGATTGTGAGCCCTACAACCTACTGCCACGTGAATGCTGCTGTGCCAATTCTTCGGCCGGGGTGGAGGAGCGGACCGGGGTGGAGGTCAGCTTCATCTTCAAAGTACAGCGGGAGAATTGGCACAGCAGCCTCCCGACTTTCACGGCAGTCCATCCAGTCCCCGATTGCAGTAGTGAAAGCAGATTGCGACCATGGGTGGGAAAAGGACGTCGAGGTGCTGGTGTTCCTTTACTGGCTGGCCCATACAGCATCATACCGGGTAGTGTCACTCGTCTATGACATCCCGTAGTCTGCTGTGCACGACATTATGCACAGAATGAGCAAGGCAGTCATCGGCACTTTGAGACAGGTTATCGCTTTCCCCAGTGCAGATGACCAGGAGGCAGTGGGAGCAGGTTTTACCCAGCTGTCAGTGTAGTAGCTGGTGCAATAAATGGCTGTCACATCCGCATCAAACCACTAGCAAGTGACGTCCAGTGCTACTTCAACCAGAAAGCTGTTTAATTCTTTTCAGCTGCAGGCCATCACTGACCACCAGGCGAAGTTCCTCGACATTTTTGTTGGGTATCCTGGGTCGGTGCACGATGCCCGGGTGCTGAAGAACAGCCCTGTGTGCACTGGCTGCCTGTTTCCATCTGCAGGATTTTGCAGATGGTGGGTATCCTTGCCTCGTCTTGTAAACATGCGTTGAAAAAAACAAAACATATAGACTCATTTTAGTGATGCCCTCCAAATGAGATTGCTATTATCAACGTCCCTTTAGATCTTTTTAGAAACCTGTGAAAGTTACCTTACTGAAGCTGCTAAAGTTCATTGTCTTTCCTCATGGTGACACCATAATAAAAATGTTTTAATACTTTTCCTTTTGGTAGTGCTTTAAGCTCTATTATACTACTTTGTGCCAAAGTTGTGTGTGATTTTGTTTTAAGCTTTGTATTCTGCATCCATTTAAAAGTTAATACACAAAATAAAGCAAATAAATGTTAAAGGTGTCTGAAGTGTGTGGCTATTTCTCTACAGTGCAGCATTCATAGTCAGACAATATATTTTTCAAATATAACTGTAATTTGCTTGTAAAACATGGTGAACTATTAAAATAATAATAAAAAAGAATGGTAACACTTTACTCGAAGGGGTTCGCATAAGACTGACATGACACATATCATTATTGTGAAGGAGGGTTTATGACTACTGTCATTAAGTGTCATTCGCTCAATTATTAATTTTTTAATGCAAAATTGCAAATATGACATTGTTTGAGTGAGACACACTTGACACTGACAGGTTATGATGTAGGTCTATTGGTTTATGTCAAGTTGTCATGACAAAGACATCTCAAACTGTCATATTCGCATTAAAAATACCATAATTGAGCAAATAACACTTAGTGACAGCTGTTATACATGCATAAAACCACCTTAATATTAATGACATGCGTCATGTCATGATTATAAAGGTGTCATTATGTCATGGTTATGAATATGAATCCTACATATTCTTAATCTTACCATTTTGCCCCTCCAAAATCAACACAGGATTTAACATGTGATGAACTATGATCAGTCTATTAATGTTACATTGGGGTGTAATTGTACAGGTAAGCCAATTCTTAATAGCCTATCTGAAAGTAAGTAGCTAACAGGCCTACTTGTTGTATCCTAGTCATTAAAAAAAAACGATTTAGTTTCATTTTTATGTAAAAAAAAAAATAATAATAATAAAAAGAAAATGTTTTTAATCTATGTTGATAATATGAAAAGTGAAAAGCATGAGTAAGATCATAATTTTGCGTAATATATCGGGAGACAAATGGAGTGGGCAGACATGACTTTGACCACTTCATTGTTTTTTTTTTTTGTAGAAAGCCTTTCTTTAAAGTGAATTTTTTTTTTATTAATTGTATCTTAATTTCAATCAATGTTTTATCAACCAATTGCCTAGATTTATTAAATAAGAAATATAGCAATATAATCATGACATGGAGGAGCCGGCGCGTGAACTGGAGCTCGTCTCATACTGTAAATGAACCGAAACTCAGATAAGCTACTTGCCTCGCAGACCTGAGAAATATGTAGAAAGCTTGAAATGTGTACTTTTAAACAAAATATAGGCTATATCTTTTTTTCTCTCAAAATATCTTTTTTTTTTCTACTCCCTTGATAGAGTGAGTCATGTCAACCCGATCACACATACGCATGGATTGGTTAGTTTAGTAGTGGTTTGGGGTGCGTGTGTATTATACGTTTGGGTAGAATTTGTGGTGTGGGGTTCGTGTCGTGTGTATTACACGCAAATGAACTGCGTATCATGTGCACGTAAAAACTCATTTTCGCGTATAAATTGCACGATAATACACAATGCGTGCTATAGAGAGGCATTTCTGAAAACTAAGCTTGTCTTCTATATTATTTCGTCCTCCTAGGCTATCAAGACGCGATTCGCACCGGTGTTGGAGAGCAGGGAAGCTTTATTGGCTGCCTTGACGTTGCCGAAATTTAAAGTTCGTTGGATAGGGGGAGCGGAGCGGAGAGAAGCGGCACGTGCCCTGCTCATCGCGGAGTGCCGCACTCTACCCCATGTTGCAGAGCCGGCTGAGAATAAAAACAGAGAGGTTGCCGCACACAGCAGCGCCAATGAGAAGGACTTTTTTGCTTTTGATGAGGAGGAAGATGCAATGGCCTTTAGCGCAGACTCAGAGGTACTTGAATACATGAGATCAGGCTCAGAGATAGAAACTCTCAACCGTTTCCCCCGAGTAAAAGCTGTGTTCATGAAGTACAACACTGCCACACCATCCAGTGCACCAGTGGAAAGGCTGTTCAGCCTGGGAGGTCTTGTGCTTACCCCCAGAAGAAACAGACTTTCAGATAAACGGTTTGAAAGACTGCTCCTGATGAGGTATAATCACCCATTTTCTGCAGTTGTGGAATAGGTTGCCTGCCACCCTTGCTATAAACAACCCAAGCCTATGCCCAATATCCTCTTTTATCTGCCATCAAACTGTGAAGAAGGACCAGCATATTTAGTTAACAAAGCCTTTTTAATTCTGAGGCTAGTCATGCTTTAAGTTGTGCTTGATTTTATTTTGGCTAAAATGTCTTTGCCTCTAAACTGTATTATGCCATTTTATTTACACAAGCCATCAACATCAAGCCATTTTTAAGTTTTTTTATTTTTTTTGTTGGATTTAGATGAGGCATGAATGTTTTATTTTGAGACATATTTGAGGTTACCGTGTTGTTCCCAAGGAGCCTTGATACTATTTTTTATAATAAAGAGCACAAAAGAAATACCTGTTATGTCCTCCATAGTAGAACTTTATGTAGGCCTACACATTTAGGAACAAACATATATTGGGTTCTGCCCAAAGTCAAGGATGGAACATAAAAGTAACGAGTAACGTAAAAAGTTACTTTCCAAAGGGGGTAACTAAGTAAAGTAACGGATTACTTTTTTTTAAAAGTAACGAGTAACGAGCAAACACTACTTTTTAAAAGTTAAGGCCAATTTATACTTCTGCGTAGGGTGCGCGCAGTAGGTACGGCGTAGCATACGCAGAGACGCGTCCCATACCGCGTTCCCTTCGCCGTAGCCTGCACGCGCACCTCCTCAAAAATGGAACTACACGTCGTGACGACGCGGACCGCAAGATCGGTGATTGGTCGGCTTGGTACCATCGCATTTCCTCCTACACATTTCCGCACGTACCTTCTCACGCATTTCCACACGTACCATCTCCTCCGACGTCTTCTCTCATTTCTGCCTTTCAGTTTTAGTAATTTCACTAAAATGAACTGTTTTTCCACCTCAATAAGCTCCAACTCCAACATGATCCACTCTCTTTCAGGCTTGTAATAACCTAGCCGCACCTCGGGGAATGTAAACAGTGGAACATTAAAACCCTCCGCCGCCAACTAGCGTTTCGGAGCAGTACTGCAGAGCAACCAAGACATGAACGCAGAAGTATAAATGCTCACAAAGGCGTCGCCTACGTGCGTAGCCAACGCCGTTCACAACAGCGTACCCTCGACGCAGAAGTATAAATTGGCCTTTACTTCCCCAACACTGGTGTGTGTGTGTTTTCACCATTGAGCTGAAGAGTAGAGCCTGTGTTTCAGTCAAGGATGAGCAGAGAAACACTGATGATATGTGCGTTGCTTTAGTTAATCTTTAATTAGCTAAATAAAAAATACTTAATTTCTTAAGTTACTTTCACTTAACTTAGTTAAATATAGTTTACTTAATTATATGTGTGAAATTTACTCAAAAAATATCAGTGCAAAAAACTTGCCTTGAGAAAATTAAGTCAATTTTACTTATTGTTTTTTACAGTGTTGGTATCAAAGTACCTAAAGTGTTTTTTTTATTAATTGTATTTTTTTAATTCTTTTTTTTTTTTTTGCTGATCCGATAAATGATCTGATCCGTGACTCGAAAACCATAATACGATCCGAACCGTGAGATTTGTGATCTGTTGCGCCACTAATTTAATTCAGAGTTACACTATTTTTAGAATAAGATACATAATCTTCAGCAGAAACAATGGGTTTAATAATAAACTGTTAAAATAAAGACTATGTCTTCATTGTATTTTTAGAGGCTAAAAAGAGCAAATGAAAGTTCTCAGCTGGCATATACATGGATAAGTAAACAAAGTCACATGACAAGAAAGAAAGTCTTTTTTTTTTTTTTTACAATGCCCATTGTGCTCTTGGAGTGATGTTTGCAGGAAAACAGCCCTAGATTTTCTCTGTTTGTAGACTATTGTGATAGCATAAGAAATAGCATAAAGGTTCAGTACAAAATGTATTATTATCATATATACCACACATATTTTAAAAAACACTTTCTCTTTCGGCTTGGTCATGTGACTTCAGAGAAATCCTGTGTCATGTCTCTATAAATACCAGCAGAAGCTTTAACTTCTTCTTTGGACCTCTGGGGTGGACAGAAGACACAGACTTAGGTTTGTCTTGATTTTCTTAATATGAATAACTTGATCACTTTTATATATGACAATTTTACTATTGTTATTAGTTTAATTTTTAATTATTTGATTACATAACTTATTTTATGTTTGACTATGCACTCATTGACAGGCTTCGAACAGACAATTGGCATTCACACAGAAGTCAGTGTGAGGAGTGAACATAAGCCTCCATGAGCGTGCATATCCATGCATGAACCATTTTCCGGTTTGCGTATTAAGGAGAGTCACTTGTAATAACCCCATCTGATATTGCCTCGGCTGGCTAAATGGGCCCTATTTTAAAGGAACAATCGGGTCATGTTGGAAATTATATATCAGGGGACTTTTTTCAGGTGCTGTGTAATATCTCATGGTACTCAGCAAAGTGTCCTGATTATTATGCAGGAAGAGAGTATAGTCATATCAGCCTAGAAAATCACAACTTTTCATTTTCCGTCGGTCTTAGTGCACGATGTAACTACAGAAGAGGCTAGTTTTAAATAGGAAAAATATCGAAACTCTGGTCATTTTTTTTGGAGAGAAATGCTAATCCAAGCTAAAAGTGCTACCACCAGACCCGGAGATTGGCTGAATGGTTTTAAAAATGGTAAAACTCAACTGTTTAACTCTAGGGGACTTGGTAAATGAGCCTATTTCCAAAAAAAAAAAAAAAAAAAAAAAAAAAAGTGGCGTGTTCCTTTAAGGATCTAAGTGTGTGGCCTAAGCATGTGGCACAAGTGCACTTATGGTGTATCCGAATCCACTTTTTATAGTTTAACGATGGGAAAAACGCATGGTGTTAAAAGGTTTCCCTATTCTCTTAATGAGTAATGGGTGTGTTTTGGGCTTTCATGCAATGCATTTATGTATTGCGGATTGCCATTTATATGACTGAATTGGTAACACTTTACAATACGGGTGCACTAATAAGCATTAATTCATGCTTAACTAATGCACAGATAATACTGAATTAATGTGTAACTAATGATTATTTAAGCTATCCATTAATGATTACCACATTAGGAACTAATTAAGAGTATGTAAAGGTTAATGTATTAGTTCATACATGAATTGTTATTAATTAAATATGTAATTGTGGATTAATTCCATAATAACTCATTTATTTTAGCTAATAGTGTTAATTAATATGTTAATTACCAGAATGAGCCAAAGCCTTGTATTTCAACTTCCAGATAATATGACAGGTACACTAATATGCATTAATACATGATTAATTACTTCATTGTTAGTGCAAATTTATGTGCAAATTACTACAATTACTAAATGACTAGTTAATAATGATGTGCCCCAACAAGTAAAGTCATAATATAATGATACCTTTGCAAATCATTAGCTAATGATTAATTAAAGCATACAACTGGAAGTTGAAGTGCATAGCTTTGACTAATTGTGGTAATTAACACATTAATTTACACTATTAGTTCATAAAATATGTTATTAAGGAATTAATACACAATGACACATTGAATTAATTGCAATTCATTTATTACTTAATCTATTAATCATATAGACTCTTTATTAGTTGCTGATGCAGTAATCTTTAATTAATGGTTTAGTTCTTCATGAGTTCATGATTATCTGTGCATTAGTTAAGCATGAATTAATGCATATTAGTGCACCCGTATTGTAAAGTGTTACCACTGAATTTAATAATCGGAAAGACTGAATGCTTCTCCAGAGAGCAAACGGATCTGCTCGAGCCCGAAGTTAAAGAGCAAGCAGACCATCTACGGGACAAAGTGCACGCGCATTGTGGACCCGCCTATAGGCACACATTTCTAATGCGCTGTTTAAATAACAAAAAATACTGTGAATACCATTGACTTTAAACCAGGTTTCAGTTGGTTAATGGGACAGTCTATTTCAGTTGCCTCAGAATAGAATGCGCCATCTGGATTTCCAAATCATCATATATATATATATATATATATATATATATATATATATATATATACACACACTGTAAAAAATAAACCGTAAATTTTACGGTAAAAAAACGGTAGCTGTGGTTGCCAGAACTTTACCGTTAAAAATACGGTAGGAACGTAAATGGTTTTACAGACTTAACTTAAAATTTACAGTAATAAACCGTAATTTATAGTCTGATAAAATTTGGATTTAGCAACTTATTGATGTATTGATATCTGTTTTAGCCCATTGTAATATACTGACAACCAACAATCATCACAGCAGTGATGAGTTACATGAGCAATCACAGCTCATCACAAGTGAATACTTGTATTAAGCAATACTTAATTCAAGAAGCTGCACAATGTCATTCACACAAACATTAAGCACCAACATGGTCACACACATGAATTTTTAAAAAACAAAAAAATGCAATAAACATTAATTTAACAACATTAAATGTAACATATAACCCTAATGTACATAACTGATTAGAAAAAAACAATAAAACTATGAAGAACCATAGTTATTTCAACAAAAATACATAAAATGTGAAGTGTCACACAGGGAATTGTGGGAATGTCAATTTACGGTTTTTCACTGAAAATTATACAATGATTTGTTAATTGTATCGTGTATAGTACGGAAACTTTCTGTTTATCAATTGACAGTTTTGCACTGTAGCATTTTTACAGTATTTTACCGTTAAAATCACGGTTATTTTTGCTTGGGTTGGTGTGCATGTATTTTAAGACTTTAATTACACCACATTTAAGCTTAACAGTTGACCATCATATCGAGCGCATGAGGAGCACGGGCGTGTATTACGTCATCAGCTAGGGGATAGACCAGTGTCTAAAGGATACAGATAGTGATGTCAATGTCTCCTACTGTATAAGTCCCATATTCTCTTTAATTGTTAAATTAATACTAATTGTTTTTCCTGCATTTACAGCAATAAACACCTTTGGTCTGACAACTGGATGGCAGTCACAAATATCTTTATTTATGTTGTTTCTTTCTATTTTATATACATTATCTTTCCTTATGTACTAATTTCTTAAAATATTCAATGTTCTATTACTCATTACTTTTTTATTTTGTTGACTTATTTATATGCATGCCTATGCATATTAAGTGCTGTAATGTAATCTCAACTTTTTTGTTGTAAAATAACAGTTGTAGAAATGCTAGTCATATAAAGACGGAGAAATTCAAGATCATTTAATAAAATCTATTCAATAATTTTTTTTCCCCCATTATTTAATCTGCTTTCTGTTCTTCATCTTTCTGCATATCTTAAGAGTTAACATGACAAGTGTTGACTGACCAAAATCTGATATGTCAGATCTAACACATTTCATTTCTTAACTAGTCCCCTGTTGTATTGTCACGGAGCGCACAGCTGTACGCGCAGCTGTCACTGAGCGCGCGCCCTCACCTCTCTCCGGTCTCTCTCGCTCGTTGTCTCCTGAGTTCTAGAACTACACTTCCCTTCGTCCTCCTCTGCTATCATTGGATTCCACCCCTGCCTGGTTCTCCCATTCAGTCTCATCACCTCCACCTGCTAATCATTATCTGCCCTTTATATGGACTGTTCAGTTGTCTGTTGTTTGCGAAGTCTTGTTTTGCCACGCTGCATGTTGCTGCGCATTCCCTTGGTTCATGTCAGTTATTCCTTGTTTTATTACCTGTTTGAATAAAGTGCTGCAGATGGATTCGACTGCCTCCTCTCATTCATCACAGAAGACTTCGCCAAATCAGGATCCAGCAGACTTCAAACGTCTTGCATCAGAAGTTTCTTCCCAGGCCTCTGTATTAATCACCCATCAACAACAGCTGGTGAAATTAACAAACCTCACTGACGAGCTGGTGAAGTCCGTGCAAACCCTCACTCAGCAGGTCGCGACCGCTAATCAAGCTCCCGCAGCTGCAGCGCTCTTAACAGCAGGCGTGAGTACGTCTTCAAGCAACCCAAAATTATCTTTCCCTGAGAAGTTTAATGGCTCACCTGCTGCCTGTAAAGGATTTCTGTTGCAGTGCGATCTGTTTATCAATCAACAACCCCAGCTTTATCCCACTGATGCTTCCCGAGTTTCATTCATCTGCTCGCTACTCACCGGGAGGGCGTTGGAGTGGGCAACGGCTCTCTGGTCTGGAGGTCAGCACACATTTCCCTCTTATGATGCGTTTATGTCTCAGTTCAGAGATGTGTTTGAACACCCGGCGGGCGGTAAGGAACCCGGAGAGCTTCTCCTCGCATTAAATCAGGGGTGTTCCACCGCGGCAGACTACTCGCTGTCATTCCGCACCCTGGCAGCACAGACGGGTTGGACGGACGAGCCACTTAAGTTGCTGTACCGTAAGGGTTTGAATAAGGATCTGCAAGGAGAATTGGCTTGTCGCGACGAAGGGAAGACCCTCGGAGAGCTTATGGAACTCGCCATCCGTCTCGACAATCTCATCCGCTCCCGACGCACAGCACTTTCGTCCTCCCTCTTCATGAGTCCACCGGCCAGTTCAGATATTGAGCCCATGCAGGTCGGCTTCACTCACCTAACACCCGCGGAGAGAGAGAGAAGAAGACGCAATCACCTGTGCCTGTACTGCGGTGAAGCGGGTCATCTGAGAGAGTCGTGTCCCGTGAGATCAAGATCCAGAGACAATTCTGCGGTGAGTGCTTCGTATAATCCTCCCAATTCCCTCTGTGTCGAGGTTTCCTTTAGTTTTAATGGAGATATTTGTGAAACAAGGGCATTAATTGATTCTGGTTCCGCTGGGAATTTTGTCGATTTGGAGTTTGCCTTGTCTAACCATTTCTCTCTCATCCCTTGTGAGTCTCGAGTGGCAGTAGCAGCCCTGGATGGACGCCCCCTGGGGACAGGGGAGGTACAATACATCACACAGCCGCTGATTCTCAACTTCGGATCTCGTCACACGGAGAGAATTCAGTTGTATACTATCAGTTCACCTCTTCATCCTGTAATTTTGGGATTGCCCTGGCTGGAGAGACATAATCCGTCAATTTCCTGGGCTGAGAGGAGAATTACACAATGGTCCCCCTTCTG